GAACTTCTAGCATTTTTGCATTGAAAAAATAGACTGTTCGAGACAGGTGGATTTTAAAACTTCTTTCAAGATATTAAAGTTCACAAAGTTAAAAGAACACCAGGTTATGCCTATGTTTCAATTTGAAATGAATGAATTAAAAAAAATAATTACTGCAAAGATAAACCTTTACTTGGTATATTAAATATTTTTAGAGAAACCAATAGCCACTAATTTAAAAATGTATTTGTCAAGATAGGCGTTGGTTTAAAAATCAGTTTCGATTATTAGTTTTAAACCTTTCACCCAAGATAGAAATTCTAGGTAGTTAATCATGAACTTCTGCTAACCATTTTCAACATGGAGAAAAATTAACTACGCAAACGCAGCCAAATTTATAAAGTTAGACAACATAGACGATAAAAGGCAAACAACAGAAAAAGGAAGAAAGACGCCATCGGCATCCCAAGCGCTTCGCTTGTTTTCTCGCTATCCAATGCACTGTAAGGATGTGGAAATGTGTGTCGATTCCATGCTCGGGTATGAGCGAGTCTTGCATTAAAACTCCATGTTTTGTTCCAAGTACATATGCACCAAAAGATAACAAAACAAGAATTAGAATGAAAGAGGTCTATTTCTAGAAGTGCTAGAGAAAAGGTGAAAACTAAAATATAATAGGAGAAACAAAGCAAGCATCAATCATATTGGTATTGATAAATGATCTATAATCTTAACATCTCATTTCTTCTTAATTAAAGACACTTCCCAGATATTCTCACGATAAACCAAACCACAAAAGTATTCAATATTTTAAGCCTATGACTATAATTACTATGTTTCAGTAAATCATGGGACAAACACTAGTAATTTTAAGACTTATAAATATGTGTTTTATGCCCTTTTTAAGGTTATTTTCAGATTTTAGAAAATAAATGCTAACACCGAAAGAGGATATGTAAGCAATATTTCAAAACAACACATGCTTCTAGCTAAGGTCTATTTCACTATGAGCACTGTCAAATGCTATTGCCATGGTCTCTAAGTCATGAATAGAAAATACATAATATGAATCCCTATTCTTAACAGTTAGATAAGTTTCTTCCTTAAGATGAACTTATAACATGGAGGGAAATAATAGGACTGCGCACGGCTACATAAAATGGAACCAATTCGACAAGTTGCAATGAAATTCATAGAACATTTTTTGTAGCAGAGAACATGAGTCATGGTCGCTACCCTCGGTACACTCAAACGTATGAGCACATATTCAAGTCATGGGTTTAACAGGAATGTAAGACATTTAGCATTCATAGGGTAGCGACAGGAAATTCCAAAGAAAAGATAAATTAACTTTACTCTACTTATCTACTAGTTCATCGAAATACAGACTTCTTAAATCATAATCTTAACAAATAGAGTTCAAATATTGAAGTGAACATAGATACGAGGTTGTTCCTTCTAAAAGGGAGCCAACAAATTTTACCGTCATGCTGTTTTCTTTAAGTCACTAATGCAGACTGATAAGTAATCCATTCAGTCTAACCGATTATTTGCAAATGACATATTCGACCAATTATCACAGTAAATTTACACTTACAGATGTCTAATCATGGGATCTGCTATGTTGAGTTGAATAATTATATTGTGTACTCTTAAGTCTAAGAGTGCATTATCTAAAAATGATAGTTCAAAAACACATTCATACATTAATCTTGCTTAGATATTTCAGCTACTTTTAGCCATATTGCTAAGATAAAAAAACCTAAAGAAAAATTCAGATCTAATAGCTATACTTATTTAATCATACAAACAATATATAAGCAGAACAAGCGAAATTCTATGGGCATCATTCTGTTATATAAACAACAACAAAGCCACGATTTTCTATAGTCCAATAAAAGAGAAAACACATATGATTTATACTGGAACACAATGACACACTTTACATCTAAAACAAAATATTGAAAGATTAAAAATTAGAAGGAAACTGACCTTTTTTAGGGCAGTGAAACTGGGGCGTCTTCAAGGGACTATCTCAGGCCTTGAATTCACTAACCCGGAAGGCAATAAATCCCCGAAAAATGCCAAGCATTGCCAGGAACAAACAGAGACGGAGAAGTAAGAGAGAAAGCTAAAATTTCTCTGTTTTTAGAGTAAAATAGCGGTTGAAGCTTGTCCTGTGACTGAAAGCATAAAGGAATATTTATAGATGGGAATCGTTAGGCTTCGGTTTAAATTTCCAAAAGAAATCAGAAGAATCACGGGTATTTTCTTGTTTCATTTTCTTTCTAATATTTCACACTCTTCAATTCCTCCATAAAATCAGAAATCATTATCCTTCCTTAAATAACCAAATCAACAATCCCCCTCTTACCAAACTTATGAAAAATTCCAAAAAGTTAATATTCTCTTGATTAATTTTGCACTAATAAAAAGGCAAAACGATTACATATGAACTCACTGCAATTACAAAGCCTGCAGCAGATTAAGGGGTGGTTTGGTAGGATGCATTAGATAAAATAATGCATGCATTAGCTTTGTGTATTAATAATGCCTTGTTTGGTAGATATTTTGAATCTATGCATTAGTTATACATTCTATTTGGTATTATACTATGCATAACTAATGCATAGAAAACCATGGTATTAGCAATGCAATGGATTTTAATGCATGCATTAGCTTAGTTAAAGATAAAATTGTCCTTCAAAATTTATGCTTTATTAAAATATGCTTGTTATTATATTAATGCAAGTTTAAATAATCCAAATTGTGAAAAATAAATTTATTCCCTAGTAAATAAATAAATACTTAGCATATTTTCTTTTTTATAAATAAATATTTAATTCTATATTACAATATAGGTAGACAAATCAAATAATTTTTTTTAAACTTTTTCATATAAAAACATTTATCAACATATGTTTCTTTTAAAAAGTTAGAGTGATGGACTGGTTTTGAGGGCATTTTTGTAAACAAACAATTCTTTTAGAAATTGTGCAATGCTTTAATACATCAAACCAAACAATAGATAAGAAATATGTGAGCATACCTAATACCAGCATAACTAATGCAAGCATAACTAATACCAGCATTACTAATACACCTTATTCAGTATTATTCTTATGCACCCTACCAAACGACCCCTAAGAGTAATAAAATATGCATACATCATTGATAATAGCGTCTTCATCAAGCTTATATTTGACTCCCCAAAGCGACATATGTTCTTCTCTTCTCCACTTCTTAATTAATAGCCAAAAGATTTAAAATGAAAGAACCTTCGGGAGAAAAAAAAAGAAGATCTTTCTACAGAGGGAGCTTCAAATAAAAAGGAGAGAATGAAGATGAATGATTACAGATGAAGAGGAGAATATATGACGAAGAAGATATGACTTAGTATTTAGAGTAACCAAAAAAAAAGTAACCAATACAATTGATTACTTTAGTTGGGTAATAGGAATACATTGTAACGTATAGCCATTATTGTAGTATAATTAGCATTATGAGTATTATGATTAATTGCATGCTACATCTTTAATTACAACCGTTTTTAATTTTTTTTCTTGGAAAGAATAAAATATATATGTATATATTTAATAGAAAAGCAAGAGGAAAAGGCAAAAAATTGAGAAAAAAAGATAAATACTTTTTTTTTGGCCAAAGAGAGGTGTCAAGTCAACACTCTTTATATATATATATATATATATATATATAATTTGGTAGGTTTTTTATAAAAATAGTAAAAACATATTATAATTTAGTAAAAACATATTATATTATTTAAATTTTCAGTAAAATAGAAAATGAGAAAACTAATCAAATATTATAGTAGATAACAATGTACGAAAAGAGGGGGATAAAGATAATTTTATAATATTTATATTTTGAATTAGTTAATAAATAGAAAATAAATAAATAACACTCAAGAAAATTATTGATAAATTTAGCCAATTGAAGAATTTTGAATAGTATAACATCAGTTTAAAAAAAAAGAAATTGTCAGAGTAAGAAAAATATATATAATATATTAAAAGAGAAGTAGTATAAAAATATTAAGCCAATTAATAAGTTAATAAAAAGTCACATTAATAAATATATAATAACAATAACTTACTAATTTAATAATAATAAAGAATAAATAAGAAACAAATAATTTATTTAATTATTATATAATATATATTCTTTGATTTTATATAAATTTTATTATATTTTTGTATACTATATTAAATAATAAAATAATAACTAATATATATTATAATACTATAATATATTACTCCCTCCGTTTCATATTAAATGAGGTACTTTCCTTTTTAGTCTATTCCAAAACAAATGACACATTTCTAAATTTGGAAATAATTCAACTTTAAACTCTTTTATTTTATCTATTTACCCTTAATGATAAGCTTTTATAGCCACACAAATGTTATGGCCCTACAAACTTTTTACCCCTTAAGTTTCGAAGACCACACATTTAAAAGTCTTCTTCTTTTTTCTTACAACTTGTTTGGATGGTTGTTACGCATCGTTTCATAATGTATCGTATCGTACTGTATTATATTATACTGTATCATTTGATAAATACAATGTTTGAATAGATTGTGTGTTTGCCATCGTTTCATGATATCACGCACCAGCAATATGAAGAATAAACTTACAATATTATAAAGAAAAAAATATGATACAAGGTAAAATTACTATATAAAATGTAGGGTAAATGATAAAATAAAATAATTTAATAATAATAAAGGGTGAGATTGAGAGAAAAAGACAAGGTAACGATGTCACCACACCAAATCGGTCGTTACATAAAGTGACACATTTCGTCGTTATGTAATGACGGATTTAACGATACGATAAAATAAAATTTAAGTAACAATCAAAACAAATATTGTATTTAAAGTATCAATACGATACAATGAGTAATAACCATCGAAATAAGCTGTTAAACTCTGTGCCGAGTAAAAAAGAGGGAGTAGGATCATTATTATAAGATTAATATTCTATCAAATTACCCTAGTCTAACGCCTTAAGAAGCTTGCTTCGTCTTTTCGTAGTCTTAGGTTTCTTATTTGGAGAAAGCCGACAGCAAGCCTATTAAAAGTTAGGGGTTAAAAACCTTGGTGCTACAATCAAAGGGAGAGTGAGATTTGCTAATTAATTGATGATGGAGGAGTTAAGTGAAGGAGTGAACAATATGAACATTAGCGGAGGAGACCTTCAGAAGAAGAATCGTATTCAGGTTTCTAACACCAAGAAACCCTTGTTCTTCTACGTCAATCTTGCCAAGGTAAAATTTATATCTTAGGATTTTGTTTGGTCTTTTTGTTTTGTACCCTATTTTAGACAGAGTAATTCGTGTTGTTTTTGGCAGAGGTATATGCAGCAGTACAATGACGTGGAACTTTCTGCTCTTGGGATGGGTATGTTTCCAAACTTCCTCTGTTGTTTCTTTTTATTTTTAAATCTAATTTGTTGATTAAGCTTAACCCTGTTTATGTATGATGACACATTTGTGCTATAAAACACACTCTTTGTTTTGTACAATTTAAAATCTAGTATTTGAAAATAAAACAACATTAACTTTAATTGTCTGGTGGAATAGTCCAACTGTTAGTCGCCCTTTGAAACAACCTCTTGCAGAAATGTAGGGTAAGATTGCGTACTATAAACCCTTGTGATCCGGCCCTTCCCCGGACCTCGCACATAGCGGGAGCTTAGTGCACCGGCTTCCCCTTTTTATTTGAAAATAAAACAACATTAACTTTAAGTGTCTGGTGGAATAGTTCAACTGTTGGTTGCCCTTTAAGAGTATTTTACATTTTTACTATATTCCTACAGAATTAGTGTCATTGTGATTTGAAAGATAGGCACAAGTCAAGACTTCAATGCAATTTGTAGATAGTTGTTGCTTAATTGGTGACATTTGTGTACGTCTGCAGCTATTGCCACGGTTGTCTCAATTGCTGAAATTCTGAAGAGCAATGGGTTTGCTGTGGAGAAGAGTACGTCTTTCGATTCTTGCATTTCCTCGTGTTTGTTTGGAGTCTTCTTGCAAATTTAATCCAAAAAGAAAGAAAAAAAAACTCTTTCTCTTAAAATCGAAAATTTTTTTTGGCTTTGCTGTTTATAAGATGCTGAAGCATAAACTATATATGGATGGTTCACAGAGATTATGACATCAACTGTTGATGTTAAGGATGGCTCAAGAGGGCGTCCCGTCTCCAAAGCCAAAGTAAGTTATGAAATCTTCTTTTCCCTGTTGTACAGTATATGCTGTGCAATTATTATATTATTATATAAAATGCACCAGGCAGCAGGCACCTCTAAACATTTGGCATTCGTCCACGAGATTAGGATATCACTACCGCAGGATCCCTCTTCTATAATAGATAGACTTTGAAGCCACGCTTCCCTTACGATAATTGTAACCGTGTATATGTAGAAATATGTGTTTGATGCTGTCATTTTGAAATGCCCGCTTGAACTGCTGTTTCATCTTCAATGAGCAAAGTTGGCTTGATGTACGCATATGTGGCAGCGGGAGCAAGAAAAAACAAATAATCTCTTTCTTGTCCTCCTTTCCTACTTTAGTGTTTTTCCATAACTGTTGATGTATTAAGCCTAGTGGAGTGCTCTATGGCCTAGCATCATATGGATCATTTATAAGCTGCAGGCCTGAAAATAATTGACTTATGCTTGATATAAAGCATTGTACATTATGTGAACTAACAGTTTTGTTTATTAAACTCTATATGACATAAAATATATCTCATTGGTTGGTTTCAGATTGAGGTATTGCTGGGAAAGAGTGAAAAATTCGATGACTTGATGGCGGCCGCGGCAGAGAGGGAACTTGGAGATGGTGAGGAGCAGAGTTAAGAGCAAGCTCCTTTTTTTATATGAATTTTTGGAGTCTGTTTTTTATTCAAACAAACGAAATCTGCAGTGAGCGTGATTACCTAAAAAAGTTGTTTGTTTGAATTGTTAGGAGTATAGCCTATCTGGTAAGATGAAGTGAAGTTTTGTTGCTGGACAACTTTGGCCTTTTAGGTGAATATATATGGCTTGATGATAATATGCTGAAAGTTGAATAAGTGAAGATTTGCTTTTAAATTTTGTTGCTTATATTTTTATGTATCTCTAGGCGAGGGTCTATCGGAAACAGCCTCTCTATACCCTCCCAGACCCCACTTGTGGGAAACTATTGAGTTTGTTGTTGTTGTTGTTGTTGTTGTTGTTGTTGTTGTTGTTGTTGTTATTGTTGTATATTTCTATGTATCCGTAAATACAATTTAACACTGATAGGGTTCCCATGGATACATACTGACAAGACTTGTAAGGTTCTACTTTTGTCCGTTGTTAAGTAGTGGTACTTTTGGTCAATAGACTGACTAGGATCCTAGCACCAGTTGGATACTGAGGCAATTTCTTCTGAAGTCCATGATACTGTTGTTGAAGTCCTGGACTGAGATGACAGAAGATTCAGCAATTAAGATTTGTGATACTTGAATTGCAATCGTGGAGTATCTTGTGAACGAGTCCGGAACCAAAATGTGGTTCTTTTGGACTCAAACTACATAAATAGGTGGTAAAAAAAATGACATTTTTATATATAGCGCCATAATACCTGACGCTATATACTAACAGTAACGGCACCGTTAATGTATAGCGTCAGGTATTGTGGCGCTATACTGTAAAAGCTGACATGGCCAGGTATAACGCCACAATACCTGGCGCTATACATACATCATTAATGTATAGCGCCAGGTATAGTGGCGCTATACATAGATATTTTATATCCCTCCGTCTTCCATCTCGATTCATCCTCCATTTTTTAAACCCACATCTTTCTTGGTCCTCCACCAAATACCCCGTTTCTGCCATTTTTTTTAAAAAAATAAATTTTGGGTCCCCCCGACACATAAAACTCGAAGAAAAAGGGTCCCACATTCGAGTAGAGCTTCGTGTTATTGTTGATTCATAATTCCGGAGTCAAAATTTCAATCTTTTTGCTTTGCCAAAATTCTAAATTGAGGTATTTCGATTTATTTTAAGTTGAAACATTTATAATAATGTATATTATTTGATTTGTATGTGTTCTATTTCGGTTTGTGTTTTTTTTTTCGAAACTAGCATGTTAAATTTATCTGGATTTAATATTAGTGGTTTCTAAAAAAATATAAATTAGTAAAATAAATTTGTCTGTTAATATCCTGATTTATATATATGTATTTTCATGCCGTTTTATATTTTATTTGCAATTAAATTTATTTGTTGTTTATGGTTAGTTTAGATTATTTTTTAGCGTAGTAAAATCCAGACCTTTTTAGCGTAGTAAAACGTAGACCCTTATAGCGTAGTAAAATTTAGAGCCTTGTAGCGTAGTAATGTGTAGTATTTTAGCTTAGAATTCCCTTTGTTTAAGTAATTTATACTGGTTGTTGAAAATGCAAACTTTGTACAATTAAGTTAATAATTGTATAAAAATCCATAAATATATAATTTGTACAATTAAGTTATTAAAACATATGAATTTAAATTATAATAAAAACACATA